TACAAAGGGTGAAGGATTACCCGACTCGGGGAAATCAATACAAACACACATAATTGACGATCTCCAGGGTCAAAGGTATTAATCGGAGATTCATTATCAAGGGAGATTCTGCAGCGATACAACTTCCCTTGAATCCGAAAATTAATGGAGACCCCGGAGACAACAGCCACCACCGGGGAGCTATGGACAATCAGTGAAGCTTGGTTTCCACTGGCATCAGAACCCAGTGACAAACTCTAGCTCTGTGTCAACCTATAATTTCTCGTGGACCTCTATCCATCTGGCGGCACTGAAATGTCGATCCTCTCGAGTGCACGGTGCTTTTTTCGGGTGGAATTTATGGGGGAGCTCCAGGTGTCATAGCGCGATTGAAAAAACTGAGAGAAATGCTCGAGGTTTTCGATACTTTCCGGTCGTGATATAACGCCACGTGATACAATGTTAGGAAATCCTCAGGGAAATCTCGAAAATCTAGAATATCTAGAAATTCTAGAAATGTTCTTCCACATCGTCACAATTTCTCTTACCGTGATTGTAGGGAATTTGAGAAATGGTTGGAATAGTCCTTTGCCTTCTTATCGTTATCGGGTGACGATTATTATTTGAGCACTTCAGATAGCCCTCGTTCCTCCATCAATTCGATAGTTCAAATTCGCTTTGACCACAAGAAACCATTCGAGACGGTGGAGTCAGAGGAATTGTCTCCTGGTGCTCGCAAAACCATCGTTTCACGAACGCCAACGGCACTTCTCAAGCCACCTTAATCTTGGAAACGGGTCTAAGGACATCCCTGGTGATGAGCTTTTCCCCCTATCCAGGTGGAACTCGCACCTTTCCCCTTCCTCATCCAGAATCCACCACAATCTCCAGCTACACCTCATCCGATGTCCGAGCAATTGTTCGCTGTTATCCGCACTAATTAATCGTTACTTAAAGGGGTAGGGATGCAAGTATCACTCACAACGGGAAAAAGCTATTTCATCATTTGTATCATTGGTAATTTATTTTCCAAGGGGCACGTAAATGTTCGAAAATATTCAGTTACTGTTTCTGGCACTCGCCGTCTTCTCTGTAAGCGAAAAATTACAATTTAATTTACCCATCCGCAGTGCCCGAGGCATTCAGTCTCCAAATTGCGTTGACGATGAATTTTTTATGAAAAATATCGGGGACTAAATTACACTGGATAATTAATTAAACGATTCTGTTGTGATGGCGTAATTAATTTGATGACGGGATCACACGAATGCATTCCGTTTTCGTTTGATTCGATTTCTGTTTGAAGTTACAATAGGTGTAATTAATTGGCATTGCTCGGGTATTGCAGTATCTGACGACCTGGAACTGATTGTTGTGATGATAATTTCGTTGTAAATACGAAAACGCTGTTGTTGGGAAATTGAAAGTAATTTTATGGGATTTATGAGCTGATTTAGGGGGAAAATAATCCACTGGAAAATACATCTCGATTCCATGAAAATTCAATATGTGATTTACATATATTTATTTTTCATTATAAATTCCGAATCGAACCGTGAATAATATATTTTTCACGGCATGCTAACATATTCCATACGCAGAACCAATCGTTTTGAATTTATTAACACACATTGAAAATTAATTAAATGGACACAGAGGAGAGTTCATAATCTATCCTGCATTTTATTTTGTAAACATTCATCAAGTGAGGGCACATGAAAAAAAATATTCGGTCAATAAAATCCATAACAATATATTCAATACATTCACACTGAAATTAAGAAAATAATTTTGTATATATTATAATTATAAAAAAAATAATTTTCTTAAGCTAAGCGAACGGGAGATTTTTTCTTTGCGTGCGCTAAAATTGAATTAAGAAATATTAAAAAATAGAGTGGATGAAATTCATATTTTTTTTTTGGGACGGCAATTTTAAATTGTTGAAAAAAAGCCCAGGGGGATGATCACACACATGGCATTGCGGTATTCTCCTTGTTGGAAAAGTACAGAGTAACTGCACAGTGCGACGTAACGTCTCCCGCTGAATTTGAAAGTCAAATGCCCGGAAAATCCCGTTAGAGTGGCAGCGTCACCCTTCCCTACCCCTCACCTTCCACCCTCGCAGCCTTTACCGAGAGCCCACTAGTTTTCATCCGGATGGATATAGTGGATACTATTGTCTCCATTTCGATGAGAATTAAATCGAAGGTACTCGTTGGAGTGGACAAACTACTGCCGAATAATGCGCCAAAACGATCGACGAATAACATTGCAATTGAAATGCAAATATTTTCCAAGAAAAATACGAAAAAACTTACTCAAAGACTTTCCACAATTCCACAATTCCACAATTTTCCTGAAATGCCTTCCAGAATCGACTTGTCAAATATTGAGAGGTTTCTCACAAAATCGCAATGCACCACTCTGACGTGAATTACTCGATGAAAATTCCGGGGATTTACTCAACCTTCATGAACTATCCATTATCGACGTACGCCCGGCAATTCCAAAATTACAGAGACTCGTTTGAAGTGCTTTCCCATGTTTTTGGAAGTACAGTTAAACCTCGAAATTAGCATCAAACATCGCCAAATATTCTATTGCAGAAAGAGGCCTCGCAACAAATGAGTCATACCTCTGTAATCAGTATAATTGCCTATCTTAATCGGTCTACCGCTTTTGCCAGCAATCTGAGGAGCTCCTCAAAGTGCACCGGCAACTACTCTTAATTATGTTTGTCCCAGGATCGACATTTTATCCTGTTTCACTTTGGTCGCCTCCTCCCACGCTTTCCACTGCTGGTGTAGGCGCTTTTCCAAGTTGAACGAGCAACTTCAATCTTGCTTTAACTGCAATGGACCAAGCCCTCTTTCCACCAACCTTTAACTGTCTTCCATCGTACTTCTTCGTCTCACATCTTACGCTCAAAAGGCCCCGAGACTTCCTCTCGAGATCTCAATCTTACTAATTGTTTTCATTATTTGAATTTCCGGGACGACAGCGTTCCTATTCACCCACATTTATCAACATCATTTATTCCTTGCCAATGGTATAAATGATATTTCCATTATTTTCAACAGGACTTTTAGCATCGAGTTTTCTAACTCATCTTTCAATGTCAGCCTGATGTTTGAAATTAAACGGAAGATCTCTCGATTGCCATAACTCATTAGAACGCAATTAATCACAATTGTCGTGGAATGAACCGGTGCCTTTGTATTGTCATCAATTTCGAGGTATCATGAACGGATTTCGAAACAGCAGGATGATCCGTTAATGTCAACCTGGTGAAGCATGTGGGAAAGACTTGCTTGGATTTCGTCATTATTTTCAATGAGGAAAACATTAATCTTCGTGATGATGACAGCTAGACTTTACTGTGTCGCTTGAAGTTTGATTACCCAAATTTCCAGGGAGTTTGTAATTCACTAATGCCTAGTATCGCAGATGAGAATTACCCAAATGTCCTCTCTGTACACAATTGCTCTCCACATTTCCCCAATCTTGAATCTGAATCGAGACCTGAATTGCCAAAGGGCTGGGATTCAACCTTCCCGGTGCTCGTGATGTAATTGAATCGAAACTATTTGTCTTCGGTACAAACTTGTCACGAAACTCGATTTATCGTCAACCCTGTGACCACAAGGGAGTATTATTCCTACAGTCTTATCCATTTTTCCAGAGGGAACTCGGGTTAACAGAAGTTGTCTTCAGAAAATAAATACTGAACTACTGCTGGAAGAAGTTTTTTTTTTGTCTCGAGGACTTTGAATCGTAGCACTTTCTTTGTACCGGTAATTTCGTTTGACATGTCATTTTCCATGAAGAGAACTTACACATCACCGTGTACACTAATTGCCTTATCTATTTCTTTCGTCAGAATAAATTCCTCTTAGCCGCGGAATTATTAGCAGAATACCATATTTGCCCATCTTTCTCGTGTCATTACGCTAATAAATGTAGAACAAAAGCCTTCCGCGTGTCATCACCCAGCACTTTCCACTTCGTTATCCCTCAGAATCTCTGATAATACCATGAACGTGTCATCTCCATAATATTCTGATACTATCCTCCATCAAGCTATTATGCAACCCGCGTGTATCATCTCCCATACCATCAACTTGGACATTAAAAAATAGAAAAAAAAAATGGAAAGTACTGATCCTCAATGCTCCATTATTTCTGTGAATCCAAATACATTCTCTTTGCCGGACATTCCGCCTCTTTTGATTTTCTCATTAGTTTTCGATTTTGTTTTACTTGAAGTAGCATATAGCATTATTTTCTATTAATTGGATATTGAAGATTGTGAAGAGAGGGAAATTAATGACATGCACAAGACAAGTTCGCATTTGTAATTCGACAAAAAAAACCGCGATGAACTGGTGGAAGCTTTAGGAATGAGACACCTCTCCTCGGAATTAAAAAAATTAGCCCAATTTGCAAGTTATAAGCCCTGGGTGGGCAGAATTAATTATTCCCGGGTGATGAGTTTACTTTTCTCACTGAAGTGACAAGGAGAGTGAAATGACCACGACAGAGCATGGTTTGATTACCCCGGGATAATTGCAAATTCAGGTTATCGAAATGGAATATAATTCCAATTTCCGTTGGTCTCCACACCTTTTATTAACGTCCACTCTTCTCTTTTTGCTTTGCATTTGCAAGTGGATGCTGAGGATGGAACTGAAAGTGGAACTTGAAGTTTTGTTGACTATAGTTCTGAATATCGTTGGTAATACGGCCAAGTTTGCGCCGATAATAGAGACTCCGGAGTCCATACAAACGAGGAAACAAAAGCTCACGTGTTGAGTTCGTTGGAGGAAATGAGAAGCAAGTTTGTAGAAGGCGAGACGTAATTATCTTGTTATTCACGAAAACTTATGATTGTTGTCGGATTAATCTTATCAGATGGTCTTTAGCGCAAGTTCTTCGGCGCTATTCAAAGGAGCTCATACACACAAATGAACATCAGAGTCGAGATATCTTGACATTTTTATTAAATATATATTTTCACCTTGACAATTTTTTAACGATTATGGTTGTAGAAATATTTATTGGTAATTTTGAAATTTTCGATGTAGAGAGAAACCCGCAATGACAAGCCCAAGTTGAATATTTTTCCCTGTGAAAAGTTCAAACAAAAGTCAAAGTATTATCTACACTACCAGAACGTGTTCGTGGCAGCACAGAATCACTGAATTTAACGCTTATCTCAGTCACTGCCATATTAGGGGTTAGAAATTGCTGGAGGCTTTCAACTCCGGCACGTGGTCGGCGGTCGAATGGATAACCCATAGAACGAGCGTCCGGATATTTTCTGTCGCGTATACCACAGTAACTTCCAGCATCGCTGCATCCCACTGGCTCAGCTTGTTCTACCTGATTTAACGATTTCCATCAGATTCTTAATTGCATTCAAACAGCTTTGCGCGTTATCCAATCAGCGGAGCTCCAAGCCTCGGTTGATTGGGTTTTAGGCGAATGAGTTGATGATGCGATGGGGATTAACAAATTAAAAAGGAGTTCGTTTGAATTGATGGGGATGTTGATGGCTTTCAGTGGATTTCAGTTTGTTTAAAGTGTTATCTCGTATTTGGGAGTGAAAATATTTGAATAACTTACCATATCCCCGGTGAAGTCCGAAATCATGACAAACAGATGCATAGGGAATCCTGCGACAGTACCTTTAGGTAACAGCATATGCTGTGGCCATCCACATCCACACAGGTTGAATTGCTCCAGGTTCTCACCACCTGATGGCCTATTGCTATCCAGGTTACGGAAAGTTTTCTCGAATGGAATTGTCACGCTCGAGTCCTTCGAGCTTCTCGTTATCGTGTTCTGACCGGGACGTACTGTTACCCCACAAATTCATTGTGAATCAAAACAATTCGACCGAGATATTCAACTCCAGTGAGTTCGTCTATTATTACTTACGTGTTACAGTGAACTTATCGAGTTCAATCATGAGCTGCTGTTGATCTCGGATATTCAAGGGGATGCTCCGTTCGTCGTGCTTCGGACCGAGAAAAATCCTGACAGTACCTGTTCAATTCAAATTCACAACACTTTCAAGATTGAAGTAATTTCATTATAAAATAATGACAATTGACTCACCCATCTGATTGTTACTATTTCGATTATTGACATCAATTCTGTAAGTGAATCCTGCGTGATTGAGATGAGTAAATCTGGCAAGCACCGGACCTCTTGGTGTGAAATCGAGACCCCTTGAGAGATCGACATCAGACTTGTTCCAAAAAGTCATTAGAATATTGGAAGGTTGATTTGGCGTTGCCACTTGGAGTCCTCTGATCTCAATGCCCGGATAGTCCAGCTTCAAATCAATAATTACGGTATACTCCCGACCGTAATAATTTCATAGAATTGATGGAGAGAATCAATTACCTGATTGCGCTCGTACGCTGGGAGAGTATTTTTGTGCTCGAGGAAGATATCGTTGATGAATGCGTGCCATCTGTAGAAGACGGGGTCCCTCATGGCCGTTGCTGAATCACCCATAATCCCAAATGATTCCTGGAAGAGGGAAAATATAATTAATTATTCCGGAGTTACTGGAATTAATTATGAGTGGCTGGATGAATGATCTCACCAAGTAACGATGATCAGGATCGTGGCAATAGGAAATAGCAATATGTCCAAAGTTATGGAGATCCCCGTATAAATTTGGATTGGGGGTGAGAATGCTAGCCTCAACCATGTTTCCGAGAACATCAATACCACCCTTCTCGGTCAGTTGCACCCTCTGGCCCTGGTCATTCATGACCGATCCCGTGTGAATAGCTTCGTAAATGCGATCCCTCCATCTCTCCATGTCCTGGAGGTCGAATTGCACTTGGTCAACTGGTCGATTTATATCGTAGAGTTTTGCACCAGCTGGACGCGATGGCCAAGTTCTGCTGGCAACTAGAGAGTCGAGTTTTGGAAAGTAAGCCTCTGGTATAGGCTCGTGAAGATTGTTCAGTCGCTTCACACGTGGCAAACGATTACACAGCCGTTCAGCATTGTATCTGTTTTATTTTGCATTGTCCCAATGATTAAGCATTACTCGATACCACCATTAGACCTGTTTTTTTTTTTATTGTGGATAATTACCTGGCCATTACTTGCTGGTGCATGTAGTAGAACAGCTCGCCACGTCTGTCTTTGTTCACAATGCTTCTGTCACCGTCGAAGGGATAAACCAGATGCCAGTGCCAATGATGGAGATTGATGCCGACATCCTCGCGCCAATATGCCACACGATGTTCCTCGTCTAGATCTGATGCCGTATAATCAAGGGGAATCTCGATCGGAATCTGGTGCAGAACATTGAAGAATCATTCGGATTTATGGGAGTCTGAGGCGCAATTCACGCCTGAAGAAGCTGGATTTTACGGAGATGGCTTATTGTTCGGGGTGACGAGCACACACAACCACCAGGACGGCCATTGTGGTGGGAGCCCTTTGTTGTTTCTAATTAGTACTTGACATGTTTACTGAATAAATTTGTCATGCTGAAAATGGACTTCTTTGATTGTCTCGGGTTATTCGGGTGGGGATCTCTGTGATGTTTCAAGGGGAAAATAGCCGAGCTCGTGAGAGAGCTGTTGACAAACCATTTTAGTCACTCATTTTCTAAATGTTTGGGGAGGACTGGGGTACGTAACGAGCCATCTCTTTGTGCCTGTTCATTTTCTCCAACCTTTTGCGGTTTTTTAGTGAACGCCAAAAACCTGTGGTCTCTATTATGAAAATTTGTAATTAAATTAGAGTCATGTGAGTGGTTGGTAATATCATGACACAATGATTGCCAATTTCACGCGCTTGCCCATGATTTCCCACGAATTCAGGATTTGTGACACGTAATTTAAATTCAGAATGAAAGTGATTTCCCCAATCAATAGCCCCACGAGTGATTACTCTCGCATTCTCGAGAAATTCTCACCTCTGAATGAAAATACTCACGCGCGATCCAGCGGGTACCACATTGGCTTCCTCCTTGGCTCTCGAGAATATCCCACCGTCCATGTACTTATCAGGGAATATCTCGTGGAGCGATGGAATCGGTAGATTCTTGGTATCGGGCCGATGGAGAATAGCAACGGACAGAGCATAGATGAACATACTTGGATTGATGCGATCCCGGCAGTAAACGCTGATCGACAAAAAGTCCTCGTATGTCCGCATACCGAGGAAAATGTCAATGAGTCTACTAGCCATCCTGCGATGAGAAGGAATAAACAGGGAGAATGGATCACGTCTACCTAATTGCATTGGCAAATCCAGATTAGGAATGCTTATCTGTTTCACCGAAATCTTCGCATTGGTGTCATCATTGAAGCGATTTAAAACGGAAACAGCGACGGGTCGATACCTATCGGTCTGAAAATTTCATATTTCCTGAATCATGAATTTGTTTTTAAGCAATTTCTTCTCTACAAGCATTGTCTCAAGCAAACTCTGACGTTCCACTACAAATGAGATTTTCCGGAATAAATAAATAGCTGAATTCCTTTGAATGCTCGGTTGTGATGGAGAAATCTCTTTCGAGGCGAATGAAAATAATTTGGGTAAACTCACCAAATATTCCGGGGGGATATCGAATGCGACTTTCTCCTCGCCCTTTGGAACGTAAACCGGCTCGAATGGACGATCAAAGAGATAAAGGATGTCTTTGTTACTTCCCGCCATTGCTCTTTTCACTCAAAGTACTCCTCAATTGACACTCGGCTCAGTTTTCCTTCTGCGTGATCGTTCCAACGAAAGCTCGAGGGGTTAATCAAAGGAACTTGGCTCTCACGATTGACTCGGGGTGATGGGGACTTGGGAAAAAAGTGCTCGAGGAAAATTAGGGGAGTTGTCTGAAGATCACTGGGGAGTTGATCGTTCTGGTGCTGATTATTCCGATGAACGGCGATTTTATAACGCGAAATGCAGGATGTCGCGGTTTTTTTTCGCGATGAGCATGGGATGAGGGCTAGCCACACACTCCGGAAAGGATGAGGTTGTTGTGATTGGTTTAGTCGTGTCAACAAGTGATAAGGAAATTTTAGGATAAACTACACTCACACAATTTTTTTTTCATTGCCGAATTATTGAGTTCACCGAGTTATCTTCTCCTTTTTCATGTTTTCTATAAATCTCTGGGATCTCCTGGATCAGATTGAAAAAAAATAGAGCGTTCTGAGGTCTTATCATTATTCAATGACACAAGGTTTCGTAGTCGTGTCTTTATTTCTCAATTTTTGGTAAAATTTTGTGAATTTTAACGAAAGTTGAGGAATAGAACTTCAAAAAGATTTCTCATAAATTTGTAAAAATTTCACCCGTCTGGAATTTCGGATTTTATTCTCGATTGGAGAGAATCTTTTGATTGAATCCCCTCAATTCGTTTATCTACCGCAGTTTTATAAAAAAAACCAGTTCAATCCGATCGGAAGATTCGGAAGTCGATCAGAATGCATCGAGGAACATCGAATCTACATTTTTTCCATTGGCCTCGGCTAATGTCTACCATCCGCCATTCAGGATTGAACAATTGGAACATGCATTGAAATCCCCGTGAATCCCATATCCTCGTTAACGAGAGGCCGTATATCCACAGAGGAGTTTCCATCCTCGGGCGACATCCGTCGTGATTCGTTACTCGTATATTCCGTTTATGTTAAAAAGTAGAGCAGTTAAAAAAGGACTAGGTGAGTTATTCACCAAACTTCCTTTTTCGGAATATTTCCCGGAAAAAAATCAGTGAAGTGGAGCGAAACTTTCGTCTGCCATCCACCGTATGTGTGGATGGACAAAACTAAACTCTCAACAAAAAAAAAAAAATCCTGCAGGATGAAGTAAAAGCGCTGCTGAATTGTCTGTGTGAATTACCACAGGAGAAACGAGTGGAGAATTCCTCTGGCACTTCCGGTTGTTCGAATAAAAACAAGAGGACTGGTGCATCAATGCTCTAGCTCCATTTCAACATTTGCGAAACAATGTGATGCATGCGTGTTACATCGCCATGTACCGAGCACACTATTACGTTACATGAGCTGCCAGAACTCATGAAATTTCGCGAGTGAATTTTTAAACTGCCAGTTGTTTTATAAATGTAATGGACATTGACGGGCGTGAATAATAACTGAGTCAACAGTTTTTCATCGCGAATGGTAGTTTAAGCGTTCCATGGCGAAATTGTTGATTTCTCGTTGATATTTTAAAAGGGGAAAAAATAAATAAATGAGGTTTCGAATGAAATTCACTTTTAATTGCCGACAAATAAATTTAGTTCGTAATATTTTGGGTTAGTCTTGAGGATAACAATATTTGAGAGGATACGGGTATTAAGATGGAATAAACTGCAATGAAGGCATTGAGTACTTAACTCATTGTATTTATTTAATGATCAAACCGATATTACCGATTACATTCACATGCATGTCCCATCAAATCAAATTTCTTATTGATATGTAGTGACCACTCCTCCTGTCATTACAATGTTTATGTACATGATCAATCAATAATACTCACTACAACTCTAATGATAATAAAAATACTCGGGATTACCCCAACTTCGCTCCACTAACCCAAGTCTCTAGATTCAACATCTCACTTCTATTTACAGCGGAATCCCTACACCGAGAGAAAAAAATTAATTTTGTCAGATAGTATTGATTCCTAATACACTCCTGAATATTATTTATCAGATCACGTCTGTGGCATTGAAATATAAAATGAATAACAGCTCCTCTAAAGTTTCAGGGGATTTATTTTATCGAAAATCCCCGCAGCAACTGTGGAAAATTAATGGAAGAATTTTTCCCTTTTTCATCACGAATGAATAAAATCCTAGGAATGGATTTTTTCACTCGGTGTACGATTTTTTCATCCCCCGGAAAAATATCAATTCATTTATAATATCAGGTGTTGCGCTGGCTTTTTTCATTTCCCGTCCAATGGGATTACGTTTTTCCACGGTAAATCCCGGGTGCCCTCGGCATATTTTAATTTCAGATGAATTTGAGAGATAACATGTCCTCGCAGCCGGTGGTATCGCAGTAGTTTCTGAGGTTTGTACTTGCAATCCATCTCCCATGACATCGTGTTGATGTGGACGTCATTATTTTCCACCTGCCGATTCCCGTGGGGGCCACATACTCCTCACCACTCTGACAATTCCCACTATCTTCTCGGCATAGTGCACATATTTGTGAACCTGAACAGATGAAAATAATCTCAAATAATATTATTATATTACACAATGGACTATTTTGTCTAAAAATTTCCAGTGAGGGAGTGCTGGAGAGTTTAAAAAAAAATGCCGCCAGTTTTTCCATTTTTTTTTGCACTAAATCTTCAAACTATGGAAAAACTGTCTGCAAAATTGAAGACTTACACCCTTTACACAGAAAATACTAATCTTAATTAACGAGATAAAAAAAATTACGTTTTACCTCTCATATTTGACGATTAGCATTTCCTGTCTGTTAATTTGTTATAATCACCTTTAAATCCGGGAATCCCATAATTATCCAACGTAAATTTAAATTAAGGAAGAGAACTTAAAAGAAAATTTGCGAAGTTTAATCAACCGTGATTACAACGAGTATTTTTATGACACCATTCCCAGACCGGAAATGACGAGTCAAGATGATTCCGCTGGTCTCCATCCATTATCATAAAACTCACGTCGACAAAAACGAAATAAACATCATAACGAGAATATTCCATCAATATTCAGGAAAGCATAAACCCCTGATTCTTGCACGCCTTTACACACACTCAGTGGCAAACAACTCGGGAAAAGTTCCATTAAAAATGAGAGTCGTTGGAACGGAAATTACAAGGTGCAAATGAGAAGACCTTCCATTACCATTTCTTCTTAAAATGCAAATTCCATTTCATTCATCAATTTTACCCCATAATGTTAAATAAGAGGGTGGAATTCATAATCATAATCGTAATGAATGAAAATTGTGGTGAAATATAAGTTGGTTCATTCCAGCATGACTTAATGCCATCATTACACTTAATGAGAAAAAAAAATAGGGAAAAAAATGAATCGCTAGTGTAGGTGCTGTAATTATCGAATGAGGGAGTAAGGAAAGCTCGATAAGTCTTTGAGGGTGGCCATAAAGTTTTTCTCAGAAATGCGGGCTCAAAGGGGTGGGTGTAATTAGGAGAGGGGAGGGTAAAAGTAATGGCGAGGGTTGAGTAATGAAATTATGTCTCGCGATATCGTGGAGCAACTGGCAATTGTCGTACAGAAGAAAAGTTTTCTCGAGTCCAATCTATTTTCATTGATTCATTCAAATAAAGAAAACAATACAATTTGTCAAGTGCATTGGACAATAATCCTCGATAAATCGTACCCAATGCATTTTTCCACTTTCCATCTCGCTAATGACATTGTGAGGAATATTTAAAAGAAAAATTGGCAAGGGATTACGAGGGGGTGGTACGCAGCCATTAAAGGAATTATAGGATCCATTTGAAAAAAAAAAAAAAAAACTGGAAACATCCAAAGGGTCGATAAAGGTAGATGCGAGAGGAGCAGATGGTGCAGTGTACAGCGATTCCGAAGAGATTTAATTATCAAGGCAGTTTATGACTCGTAGTTCACCTGCAATTTTTTCACGCAACAAATGCTAATTTTTTTCTGTTTCGGGGAGATAATAATTCTAATGAATTCGATCTCTCAATTGAGGATGTTCCACTGATGTTTTCTTCTTTCCATATTATGGTTCTAGAGTCCATTGTTAAAGAGTTTATGGGATAATTAAAACTTTGATATAATATAAACACCGGATACATCATGAATGAGCAGTTAAAAAAATAATCATCACGAATTGGGACGTTATTTGTCCGAAAGTTCATTCTCGGTGCAGTGAGAGTTCATGCCATTGATTTTTAAATTGCTCATTACTCGCCATTGATTTTCTCATTTACCCCGAAAGAGCGATGCGATAAAGAAAAAGGATAGGTTTACGATAGTGCGAGCTTATCGCGCTCTCGCGTGTCTGGGGCATTAAATAATTGCGCGTGACAGTAAACTCTCCCCGAACCCTCTCTTATCTGTCTTGTAGTTCAATTACGTTTTATGCTCCTCTGCACACCTGTGTGGGAGATCGAAACCTTTCAACTGTATTGCAATATTCCCCGGGATGAATGCAAAGCTCTTTTTTCGTTTGAATGTGACTCTATTGCGCAACTGATGCACTGGAGTGCTCAAAGCATTATGGAAAATCGAAGGAACATATATGGAAATGTGTTTGATTCTTTTGTTGGTTTATTGTCTCTGAGTCTTCTGGGGTACATCCTCCTGGGTCGGGTTATTAGATTCTTTTATGGCAACATCTATTGTCTCTCGGATTTCATGAATATTTCCATGATGTTTTACTTAAATTGAAGAGAAATCTGTAGGGAACAATTCGGTAGCTTTCAGGATGTACCCCCGAATCGAAGAAATTTCGTCATTCTCTAGGTTTTATTGAGGACATTGCACGGTAAAAAAAATACTTTAATTTACTTTAAACGCCAGGAGTGCGCAATCGTCTTCCCGCGTTTGGTCTGAACTTTTGAAAGATTTATAAAATTTATGTGTATTGACGCAGAGTAAATTTAAATAAATCACTCCGTGAGATTTCCAGGGAGTGAGTTATCGCTCCTCTGAAGGATGCTCTATAAATAAATCCCCACGATACAGATACCGGATTACGAAAGTTTGCGGTGACAATGGCGTGATAAGGGAACCTAGGAGTGAATGGGAGATTTTTTGAGATGCCCACGGTGAAGAGGACTCGTTGACCCCAGCACTTGTGTCAAGGGTTCTTCCAGCACAATAAAATTCTTTCTAGAACCTCTGAGCCTCACCTCATTCGTCAGCTCATCCCTTTTATCTCTCACACTCTACCATAAAATTTTCATAAATTTAGTTGAGCGTGAGTCGATGAGATTTACCTAGTGTCAAATCGGGAAATTCCCTCGTGCAGATGCGCGATGCCCAGAGAACTGTGAAGATCTGGCAATAGCTGGAACAAAATGGGAATTGAGGTGAGCGAACTCCACTCGAATTATTTCTAAATACCGGAAAATTTGTTACTATGTCGACGAATGAAAAACCCTGAACAGCATATGAATAATGTTTAATGCATGAATATGCAAACTTTTCGCGAATTTCATGTTTCCTTCCCCTTTATCCGGGCTTCAGCAATGCGTTAGTGTAGAGAATAGTTAAGAAGAGAGTTGAGAAATTATGGAGAAGAATTATGAGTATTTAAGTAGAATGTTAAATCCTCTTTGAATGGAATTATGAAAATAGAAAATGAATATTTAAATGGGATTACATTACGCGAAAACAAGAATTTTAATAGCCTCATTCTGAACAGATATCTCTCGTCTCCGTATCTCAATTTCTCGAGCACATGCACACAACTTTATTTATACGAGAGTCATGCATAGGGGTGGATATATATGACAGACACTGGTGGAAACTTGGGATGAAACTGTGCACGAAATTCTCAACAGTGTTGTACTTGAATCTTACGTGCTTTCGTCTCTGAAATCCACTCCCTGAATTTCCACGAGTTATGTACGCTAAGAAATAACGGATTTTGCATGATTATCACTGCACTCGTAAAAAAAAGAATTCCAGCAGCGGATCCATTTACTTCCCTAGTAAATAAACCCACTGTAATTTTTTTTCTCGTGCAGTGAAAACCTGCAGACTACGTGCAGTTGAAAATTTTTGGTGATTCAGGGAACGAGAGGTTGAATAATTGAGGGAGGAAGTGAGGATTTTGAGACTGGCATTGTATTTACCTGGGCACTGAGTTCACATCATCACTCGTTGAATTTTTCTCTGAGAGAGTCGTCAGGAGAACGGTGCCTGAAATTTTCAAATGTAAATATTGTTGATCATACTCATTCCATCATTAACTCTGTTGACATACCTTTATGGGATAATTCCGAATGCTCACGACATCCAGCAAATCCTCTGCACGTCCGCGATTGCTCCAACTGGGGACAATGTTTGCCTCCATTGAGCTCGGCTTTCGTGATAACTCGGTTTCTTGTTTGAATTCCAACTCCACACTGGCTTTTGCAAGGTGACCATGTCCCCCACTCGCTAACAGCACAATCTGCAACTGAACAAGACCAAGAAATCTAGGAGAAAAAAAGTTAATTGCCCCGTCGCTCTGGTCTGCACATGTCCCAGACTCAGTAGATCCACCGATAATACGACACAAATTGTCACGAGGTATGGATTTGCCTTTGGTATCTCCATCGTGTTATTTCACTGGGAAAACGCTTAACTGACAAACCCCCCGCTGAGGATTACGTCAGTCCACCCAACTACAGAGTAATTGCATTCGACTCCAACTTCCATCTTTCAGTGAATGTCATTTGCCGCTCTAGCAATAATTCGCGGAGAAAATTATGCGAAATTCAATTGCAAATATTGAGATATAAATTGATGAATTAACGAGTCACTCTCATACATTTTTTTCATTATGCAAGCTAGTGCCTGATATTGTTTCATTTTTTCCATCACGTGTTGATGAAAAATAATTATTATAATGATATTGGAAATGAATTCAGATCTCTCAAACGAAGAGGACAAATTCGTTTCGCATTCTTTCATGCCCTTCCATCCCGGAAGTCATTAAGAAAGTACCGGGTACATGTACAGACCATGAAAACTTATTCCATTTGTTAAAGTTGGCCAATGGATTGTTTCATCTTCGGGGAAGTTTTCCTACGAGAGAATAGCGTAGCTCAGTTCTTCGAATTCAACTTGTTATATTTCTTATGGAATACATCGGCATGTACGTGACTATGTACCGAAGGGTGAAGTGAAATGTCTCAATTCAATTATCGAATTCTGAGAGCACATAACAGTGGCTTTCCATTTCCTCCACTTCCGGTTGATTTATCTTAAGTTCTACCCGCGACGAGTCGAGATTCTATTTAAGTTTTCTGACAATTTCGAGGTGGCATTCTCCATTTTCTCATCAAAACATGATTTCATCCCCAGATCACATGAGTCTCATAAATTTTCCTAAACATTTTCCCCGTGGAAATTTCTCCCGAAATATTGACAATCCTCATTTCTCCAAAGGCTTAATCGATTTTATCTGAGAGTTCAATCGAAGCAAAATCCTATTTCCGATTTCGCAAATCAAATAATATGAATATTCTCAAAAAATCACATGCAACCTCTCACTCCTGTTTTCTTTATTCTCTTATGAATATGAATTCGGGTATGGAGAGGAGACAATTTATCTTCGGAGTTAAATGGAATTGCCCCAGCAAAAAAAATAGAGAAGAGAAAGGGAAAAAACCACATGTGAGTGTGCGAACAAGTCGAGAGGGCTGCGACGTGTTTCTCCTCCTGTTCTCTTTCCCTATTTTATCCCTTCCCAAATTGATTCTCCCACAAACGAAGATTGAACAATATAAATATAGATATATTCAGTGTATTACGATTGACTCCCCTCAAGAATCTTACGAGACATTAACGAGTGAATTTATATTAAGGGCATTCAAGTGCGTCCCTCCGTTACAATAGGTTCTCTGGAAAATTACCCTCGAGGGCTTCTTTGCACTACAACAGCCGATAAATTCCACTTGACTGGAATCCATCAGCTTAAATCATTGTAGCACAACAGAAATTCATCGACTTGATAAATATAAACTGTCATTCGTTGGGAAAATTTCTACGAATTGTTTGTGAAAGTTCCTGCAATTGCAACTCAAGTTGTAGTTGTCATCCCATTTCAGTCTAATTCGATTCATTTTTCTCCGGAACATTTCGTATTGAGTTACCAGACCACTTTATCTTTTTTCAAATGATATTTTTACCGTGCAATTTTTGCTCGTTTTTGTAACACCATTTAACAGACAAATTGATTCCGAAAAAATTTCGTAAAATTATTATTATCATTTCGTTGTGGAATTACGGAAATGCAATTTTTATTGAATATGATAATGAAATGACTTTGATAATTACATGGCGTTGAAAAACAGGAATCCCCCAGGTTTTTTTTTAATGTAATAATAATAAATAGCAGCATGTGCATTAATTCATTCTCACCATAACCGCGAAACTAAAAATGGCTCGTCTCATTAAAAAAAGAAGCAAAACCCACGGTGGAAAAATAATTCCATTTTTCTCATCCGAATATTAAAAAGCGTCTGGCACAACTAAAAATGAGGTGAGAGGAGCTCGAAAAAAAAAATAGCGAGCGAACAGTGAGCATAAAAATTTGATGAATGTGCGACGAGTGATATGTTGTAGGTAATGATTCTCGGTTTTACGTTGAAAAGTGCCAGGTGGCCCCTAGATCGGTAAATTTTATTGTTCAGCAAGTATTCCTGTGCGAAATGGACGAACAAAAATTTTACCGGAGAAAATGGAAGAGTCCCCGGGATTTTATTTATGGTTGCAGTGTGAGGGTGTGCAGAGGGATTTAGCACGTTGGAAAAGGGATGGAGGATTTTTTATTTTTTTACCAAGGACTTTGCGGTATAATGCTGGAGAAATAGAGCACAGAGGAGGCTCAGGAGTGTATCCCAGAGACTATCAAAAACCCCCGTGCATGGCAAATAATAAATCATGCAAGAAGGTTGAGAATAAATGAATATGGGGAGATGAAAAAAATTGGCGAAAGGTGAATTTTATGCTTTCAATAAACTCCTTCTCACTCCGATTATTTTCTAAAAGCTCCTCTATTCATTCATGATTATTTTTATAGTTATTATTGGCCTTTTGATCAATCGACGTGCGGCATTCGTGGTCTTGTGATAATTTCCCTGCCAATTGCCCTCAACGAACTTATCGAAAATTTGTTTACAGAAATTGATAGGTGTTGACTAAACTAAATTAGTTAATTACAAGTGAGGCAGTTCGGGGAGAATTAATTGAGCAAAATCAATATTTTAGAGACATTGCGTTTTATATTTTTCTCAAGTTTTTCTGTCTGGGGACTGTAGTCCCAAATTGTACAGAAAAATTTGACATTCGTAGACAACCATGCGATCGGATAATAAAATCTGATAATTTTGAAGCACTGGGTATTGGTACTTATAATTATCTAAAAATTCACTTACCACTGCATGCATCGCGAAAGTCATCGCAGCAATCATTGAGTTTGAGGCAAGCATGATCGCAATAGCATGGTTTATCCCTTGGACTCTCGATAATTGCATTGGGTGATGCTTTTTGAATAACACAACCAGAATCACGTCCTTGACAGCAGAGTTTGGCAGCTCTGCAACTACCACCTGCGGTCCTATCCACCAGGCACAAAATTGCCACGATAAAGTACTCCACAAGTCCCGACTTCATGTTTATTCCTATCAAAATTCTCAGCTAATCTTTGTTATTTATCTTCAGTGTCAATAAATTATGGAGACACCTTGGAGATTTCCCTCACGCTTCCATCCCCATCATAATCATCTTTTTAATTAGCCACATGGATACCTTTATCGATTCATCAAAGTCTATCACTCAACTCATGTCACACCTCAATTAGCGGTAAAATACTTGGACCCATGTCACGTCACTTATGATTAAACCAACGTGTACTTGATGGCGGTGTTTACCGGAGAATCGCAACACTTAGACCCCTCTAGCAATCTCTACTCAATTATTTTAATTGATAATTTGCGGTGCGTTGAATTAACTTACAACACTTTATTATTTCGCTTTGGGTCAAGATCAGTCCTTCAATAATCATCAAAAACTTGTTCATGGATCGAATCACAGTTTCGAATAGAAACGTTCATTTAATCCGGACATTTATTTTTATTATCAATTCAATTCAATTTTTTGCTGTCAGGGATTTTTCATTTTACTTATCTGCTCGGGGAATCGATTGAGAAATTTCAGACGCTTGATTGATTAATTTGATTCTTCGATGGTGATCAATTCCGGACAATTTTTTTCTTTGAGGGATGTCTTTTTTTAGTTTGGATTTGCGCTATTTTTTCTTTTTAAGAGATTTAAAGAACCGTTTGACTGGGGTTTCTCGGATTTCTTGTGACCCCTTGCGCTGTCGTGCTCCAACTAACTATCGGATCTGCGAAAACGGTTGTTCCTCGACCGCCACCAACCCCTGGCGCATGCTCTCCATCAATCGCGATTCAATGTTGTTGGCAGCCTGAAATTATTATCTTTTCGTCCCCTGAAAATAACATTACCTGCACTTTAATTAATATCGCGACAAAAAAGAAATCTCATCGGAGAAATGGAGGCTGCACATGTTTAATCAAGTATTGATGGAAATTGTGAATCCACTGTTGACGGATTTCAAATAATATTTAATTTCGCGGGGGAATCGGCATTCGATTAATTATTTCCATTTTTGCTGATTACTCCGATGACGCAGATGGGCTGTTTATTCAATCATATTGTGAATTCAATCTGCACTTCTGCTTCATCTGTACTTCATTAATTTCCCCATTTTTTCATTATCCTCAATTTCGAATTCAATCGCATGGGTGAGCGAAGAGGGCAATGTATTAATTGGAAAAATATTATAAACGATAAGAAATAATTCCGTGGAGTAAATTACGCAGCAATGAAGGAACTGAATAACTTCAATTTCCCCTGATTTCCTTGACGACGAAAATAGACAATTCCTTCATCCAAAGGTAAATTTAACGTGCACTTGAATTTCACCTCCGCTTCCTCTAACATGAAAAATTTTCTGCACTGAATAAAATTTCACATTCAGCGATTGACGGATGCGCGTAAAAATTGTTTACATTTACTCAGCATTCTGGATTGGCTCTTGTCGAAATTCTGAGGATATTGGGCGGTAAAATATTTCATTCATCCCAATGGAATTCTGTGATGTCCCTCGAGCGATTGGCGCATGTAGTACATATACACTGAGAGAGCGAAAAGAGAGAGGGAAAATATTGTTCTCTCAGTTGCACAGTAGTTCGGGATATAACCGTGAGGCTACGCACGGTGCTATTTTCGCTCCCAATGGGAGAATTGAGAAAAGTTGATAAATTCACGCTCGTCGGGGAGCAAAGCATACTTACCTGGCGCAGAGGTTACCGTGATCATGAAGGCGGTTCCTCCAGGGCGAGGCTCTTCCATTGCACTCCGGTCGAGCTGACCCTTGCGAATATCCCTAATGTGGATATCTCGGGCGTATAATTTTTGATAGTCGGGACTGCGTTCGCGCTATCCCGGATATAATAATTCAAAAACAATTTCTCCAATACTACCAAATATTTTTTCCTCCAATTTGATAAATGAACTGACGTAGTAGAAGCAAGTTTGGACTATTCAATAACACTCTAACGAGGTGTTGCAAATATTTTCCGGCGGTTTTTCTCAATTTTTTTTATAAAGAATGACAAAACTGTACGCAATACCTGAAAATAATCGCATCACTACGGAACATCGTGAACCATTGAATAATTACAAAAAGCAAGAATATTGTATTTTTTTTATGTCCATCTGATCAATTATTTGTTTATTATTTCTACTCCACCTAAGGTTGTCAATAAAATGTTCAATTCCAGTAATTAAAAATTGGAGTGTAATTTGTCTTATCTCCAATGACGAGGAAAATCACTTGGAGCATCTGGCAAGCCGTGATGAAGGCAAGATTAATAATCCGAAGTTTCTCAACAGTGGATTTTGTATGATACTGGAGAAATTAATCAATGCGTTGCTAATACTCTCCTCTCACTTTCATAAGAATACAAGAATTATAAATTATCATTGTACGTCGAGATTTTATCAATCGGGTAGAGTCTACCCGGTAGACGATTGTCTTATTGCATATTCCTAGAGGAAGTAGTGCTACTAAATTAATTGTCAGAGTTTAATGATTATGGAACGCTTCTAATAATTCTAATAATATATTATTATTTTTCTATTAAAAATCACCCATTTCCAACATTAATTATTCATCTCGAAGTGAATGCATAAAGAGGATGAACTTGTGAGACTCGAAATGAGCATTGATGTTGCGTAATGAGTTGATCAATAGTAACTAGGGAATAATAACAATTCTCACAGGACATTGAGCTGATGTATGACGTGGACATGGCACTTAGGAACAGTCGGTGAATGCTAGACCAATCCGCAGTCCAATTAGCACCATCCTGAAACTCACCAAGGGCTCCAAACTGTTTTACCTAGTTATGGGGGTGGATTATGTAACTGGGGGGCACTTTCACACGTCAGAGTTCTCAACTATTAACGCAATGTTTGTGTTATGTTATACGTGGATTGGGGTAATTAAAGTTTATTCATAAATGTCTAGGGTCTTCCATTGAAGTTAGTTCACGATTTTCATTGAAGTAAATTTTGCAGGACGTGATATCTGGGGTAAGAATTATAATTGGGGTTCTGAGTAAAGCGGCAATTGTATCGCTCTCGAAGATTATTCTGTCGGTTATAACTCTAAGTGAATTCTATTCGTAATTAGTGAGATTGAATATCTTGGAAATTTGAGAAGTATAAATATTTGAAATTGATGAACATTGGAGGATCATCCTCGAGAGCAATACACGATAACTCAGCTGAAATCTTCACCTCTCTATAAGCCCTTCATACTTTTCGTTGAGGAATGCATATGATATACCATTTTAAAGTTTATGATATGACTTTTCAAGTGATAAAAAAATCAATGGACCAACGATAAATTCAAATGACAAAAAATTCGGAACTGATACGGGTTATTAAAAAAAAATCGTTCTCATAAAAGCGCGCGCTTTGATATCGCTCTCGTCATTGAGAAACATGTGTAAATACCTGAAGTACTGAGCTTTGTTAAGTATATTCACTTGACTGAAATACTTGTTTCTCGGGGGGTGTGAGGGGATGGAGTTTTGTCCACGACACCATCCAAAGTCGACACTAAGGGTCGCCACTTGATGGTGGTTTTCTCGCAAGTCAAGCATTGCGGTAAAGTTGATAAGTCGCGGTGAGGGCGAGCTGAAAGCATACTTACCTGGCGCAGAGGCTACCGTGATCATGAAGGCGGTTCCTCCAGGGCGAGGCTCTTCCATTGCACTCCGGTCGAGCTGACCCTTGCGAATATCCCTAATGTGGATATCTCGGGCGTATAATTTTTGTTAGTCGGGACTGCGTTCGCGCTATCCCGGATATACTAATCCAAACGTAAAATTGATAATTGAGTATCCAACTCAATGAAATGTTAGCCCAAAAATCATTCAGCTTCTCATTACCATAAACAGCTGACCATTTCATCCTCCAACTTTCGTGGCATGCGAAAATCAATAGAAATCGGAGATGGAATTCGGGCGGAAATATTTCACTGGAAATGCGAAATGGCAAACAATGCAACCAGAGCTTCCATTTCGCATTGATTTTTTCGGTAAATACGATCGCTCGTAAAGTATTTATGGCGGTATTTATCGTGACAATACCGTGTTTGTTCGAAATGTACAAAATGAAAGAGTGACTTTTCGAACCATTATTTTTCTGGAAATTTATTTAACAATCGCGTACCATTAGAAAACAAAACATCTTACAGGATTTGTTCTAATACTTCTATATTTAAACACAGAAACGAATAATGATTGATCAACCTCAGTCAATATCATCGTCATAATAAATTATCTCTTTCAGCAAGAAACCCAATCAAAATAAAAAATACCAATTTTTTTCGGAGCACACGGAAATTTTTATCTTAATTTTCTGTGAAAAATTACCACTATACCACCGCTTAAATTTTCGAAGTTGATCCGTAATTATTTTAGTAATTTCTATAATTTCTGTTCAATTCTGTAATTTTCATTGAATCCTGTATTTGGAACAGTTAAGCACTGAGAATTGCCACTAGGAGTCACCACTTGGTGTTGGTTTTCTCGTAAGTCAAGTATTGTGGCAAGTTGATAAGTCGGAGTTAAGGCGGACCAAAAGCATACTTACCTGGCGCAGAGGTTACCGTGATCATGAAGGCGGTTCCTCCAGGGCGAGGCTCTTCCATTGCACTTCGGTCGAGCTGACCCTTGCGAATATCCCTAATGTGGATATCTCGGGCGTATTATTTTTGGTAGTCGGGACTGCGTACGCGCTATCCCGGATATACTAATTCAAAAACAATTATCTTCCCTCTTCAATCCAGAAATAATTTTACTTCAATACATTCTGCAGTACTTGTATTAGAATTGTTTCCAAATCCGTCCTATGAATTTGGTGCGTTACCATTGACGTAGTTTAAAAGAATTTTTCTCTCCATATATCTCAGAATAATGCCAATACCTTCTACTGTACACATAAATCATTCGCGGATTGATTGCACCAAATAACACAAGTTAATTGAGTGTAGTTGATTGTTATCTGGGAAATTTGCGGGGTATGTCATTAAAAGTTAACTACTGCTGCACTGAAAATATACAAAAGCTTCCAATCAGTGAATTGCTCGTTAAGAATTTTTGGGGATTATTATTTTATTATTATAAGCCTGAGAAACCCACAGATTTTGATACTGACCATTTTCTCATTCGACTAATGCATTCAATCGGTCATAATTTGATTGAATCTCCTTCCACCGAATTTATCCCAAATCCACGAAATGATTCAGCCATCCAAAAAATTAATAAATCATCCCAGAAATGTATCAGCACGAAAATCCCGACGAAAGATGGGAAAAGAATGGGCAGGAAAATTGGAATGAAATAAGAGAAAATGGCTTTCTCTATTTCTTACTCCTATTTCTCCCTCACCATAAGATTCCGTATAACCGTTTGTGCTCTTGAGTACAAAAAAAAATGAAGGGGGAAAATAAGAAAAAGTTGAAATAAAAAGGGAGGAAAATGTTGAGGGCTCTAGCACACGAGGGATATAAACCCCTTTCCACATCTCACTTTACCGGTGGAATCGTCCTCGAATTCACAATGCATTATTCATCTTGGAGGCAGCCATCGAAGAGCGCCTGTCGTTTTTTGAATCTCACTTTTTTCTCTTCATGCTTTTTCCTCCCTCAGCCAACCCTTCCGGGCTGTCATTTACATTCTCAACGCGTTAAGTATATTATAAGCCTGTACCTGTATCATA